ATATAAATAAATGAGTAGAAAAATTAAAAAAAAATATGAAATAGACATACAAATATCTGTTGTAATAAAAATAAAGAATAAACTGGATTGTTTGGCATTCAGAGACGTAAAAAAGACGTAAAGTGATAGACAGTAGTTTGAGTGATATGTTCTATACATATTATTTTTTTAAGAAAATTACTTCCCTCTGAAAAAAAGTAAGAAATCATTAATTTATTAAATAGACAAACATGTAAATGAAAAATGATTTTAAAAAAAGGTAATTATTTTCTGCTGCATAGAAAAAAATGAAAACAACAACTGGTCGTAGTTTATCCTGCTCACGATACTTATTTTCCAATGAAGAAACAAAAAAAAAAAAGACGCCAGCCTTGATACACAAAAGTGAGCAGGATGTTTTTTGGTCCACATGATGCGTAAACTTTCCTTATTCGATTTTTCCTCCCACTGTAAGGACTAAGTCGCTATTCATTCAAATTTTTCCGTCCGTTGTGCCGTTTATAGGTTTTCCCAGTCGTTAATATTTTCCATCGATTGTTCACGCACTTACGCACGATCGTGAATTTCGGTTTTACCAAACGATCACGATACCGCGTAATTTTCGGAGTCAATAACACACGATAAAAAAAAATTAGACATTTGTACTAAGGATAACGCATGTGCAACAAACAGTATACATTGCATTAATTTTCGATCATTGTTCCGGGACACTGCCACAATTGTGTTGCGTGATAATGTTCACGATTATGCGTCCTTATTATTCAACAGACGGTGAAATTGCAGCAAATACGAATAAAGTCGGTCTCTCGGGCATTGGGAAACGTATACGCGAATCGAAACATTTTATGAGTCATTCCCTTGAAATTGATGTTTATATAAAACATGACATGTTTACCAAATATTACAAATTTTACCAAAGTGAAATGAAAGAAAAAAAAAAAGTAAGAATGCCAGTGATATTTTGCCTATACGAAAGAAGCAAGGAGCCAAAGACGCGAAAAATAATTAGCCAATGGACCGCCTAGCCAGCCCAGCCTCGAATGGGTGCATGTATATATATATATATATATATATCTCAATGGTGGGGAGCGGAACGAGAAAGGAGAGAGATCCCAAGAGAATATACATTACACACATGGGTAGTACTGTTTATGCAACGTATGCACGCGTGCACCTCAAAAGAGTAAATGACTCTCTCGTCCATGCAGCTAGTTGTACCAGCAAATGCTTATCTCCCGCACGCGCGCTCGGGCACCTGCAACCAGCCTTCACTACTGTTTGGTACACACTACATGTTATGTATGTACCTGTACTGGCGTGCGCTCGAGCATTGGCACTTTCACGCGCGTTTTAATGCTTGCCGTGCTGGGCTCTGTCACGTACACGAGCATATCGCACGGGGATCCAATTTGAGGCGCGAGAGTGTTTTATTTGGAGGACTGCCTGTGTCTCGTATTGTTGCGAATCTTGTCAATTAGGCTGTTTTGATGATTTCATTACCGATTCATTGCGGCGATTCAAAATCAATTTGCACTTTGTGCTTTTCAAGTTGTCTTATGAAAACTTATTTCAACTCCATAAATCAGCCTCTCGCTATGATCATACGATATAGGGATACACGTGGCAGTAAACCAATCAATTATGACGATACGTATACGATTTATCTTGCAGAGGGTATGGTGTTTCGATTACTGTTATGCGAGCCACCATGCCAATATCATCAAATTTGTTCAACGGTACACCCGTGTTTATTGTATTCGTGGGCATTTCCTGTTATTTTGTAATCGAGTTTTACGATATTATGTAAAATGCGTGTGTGTTCATTATCCAATTGATTACGAGTTGCGTGTTGCGGTGATGTGATTGGGTGTTACCGATACCCACGTGTATGAATTCATCGACACGTTTGAAGATTGTATAGGTAAAAACAGTATTGTAAAGAGCAATTTGTCACGTGTAATGACGTGCACCTCCGTTTGGCCAAAAACAACAGGTGTCGAAGACGATCGGCGCGAAAAGGTCCAAAACAACCGATCCCGTCGCCGATCAATCACATCCCGTATCATCGCAACTCCATTTGCATCGCCCCTCCAAACAAATTATTAATCGAACGTATGTTTGCGCGCACGCACGTGCCGACGAGCAAAAAAGGAAAAAAGTCTTCCGATGTTCATTAGATCGGCGCGAAAAAAATTGCCGATCTCACCGCTGCGGAATAACGTCATATACCTACACTCCTCGAACCTGACGCTCGGCAGGGTATACAAAGCATGGCTCGCATCCCCGCTTCACGTGATACACGTAAAACTCGAGAAACTGAAGAAAAAAAAAGAGCTGCTAAAGTTCCGCGAAAAGTCCCCTGAAACGCATAAAGTGACGATCGTGAAGATCGACTCGTCAATAAGATGCTAAAGTTTTTGTCAACCTGCTCGCAAAAAAAGCCACATCGGGAAAAAAACCACCACCTATACACACGCTCGCGCGCGTCAATAACGCGTCTCGGTTTTTTTTTGTTTTTTTTTTTTTTTTTTCGTGCTCCCTGTGACTGGTAGAGGGGCCCCCTGGAAGATAGAGCATCGGACCGAGGATGACAGTAGCCTCAGTCACTGCGAGCCAGCACGAGCTGATAATCCTAATTCTCGGTGTCGTCTTGTCGTCGTGCACACCGATTAAAACCTTACCTTGGCTCTCGCACCCTGGGACCGACCGTTTCTCTTATGGTGTTCACGTGCGTGCCGCGTTGGCTGAAAATCGATGCGCCGCCCGCTCTATCGGAAGAAGGACAAGCGCCGCGGAGCCAAACCTCCCTCCGGTACGTCCATCTCTCCCCTCACTGCTTTCTTTTTTCGACTAGCTTTTTTTGTTGTTGTACTTTTCATTCAATTATCTCTGTATTTTGTAGAATCTGTTTTTTTCTTTTTTTTACCAAACAGGTGTTTTGACTTGTTTTTGAAAATCGGGTAACCTTGATTTTTCATAGCCGATGCCATTTTTTACGGTATCGGTCGGAGGATGTGTCGCCGTCGACAAGGTCGATATATCGGTGTATATCATCGATGCCCGATTTCCTTGGTTTATATTTAAAACATCGGCAGTGTGACAAAAAAATGTCCATGCGCGCACGTAACAGATTTTAACATATAATATCCATGATCATCGATCGGCACTCATTTACGAGTCAATTTGAGTTAACATGTTCGCAGCGTTTACCATGTCTCTCGTTTTCGGTTTCCGCCCTTAACTGAGACCTTGACGGAGCGAGTGCCGTGGTTTAGTCCCTTGCGGTGCGTGTACATTACCCACCTGTGCGATTTAAGTCAGGGCCGCAGCTTTTGGGGGGAAGCGCCTGACCTTCGAGCAAAAAGGACTTGTGCCTTTCACGCGCAAAAGAGTTGCATTTTTTTCATCTCTTCTCGGTGACGGGTGAGAATCTTTCGGTCACCAACGCGGCTCTTTCGGAGTTAAACCATTTACAATTCTGGTGTTATTTACGATGTCTCGTCGTAATTACAAGATGTACAAGATGCCTCTCTTTACGGCTCGACGCTACGAACAAGATAACAACTCGTTTATGGGTGGCGAATCGTACGGGCAACGATCAAACACCCGATTACATGTACTTACCGTGCGCATGGTTGTTTCATTTGAGCGAACGGGTTCATTGACTCCATCTCCCTCGCACTTTGTAACGATCTATCGCCCACGTAATCCTTTTCCCCCAAATATTTATGTAACAATGATCTATGTACTTGTCGATATTCAGCGCTTTTATCGCACTGAATCTCTGTTAAGACCAGAACTGAGACTTGTATTGGTTTGGGACACACCTTATGAAAATTATTCTTCGTACGACCCGTGTGTGCACGTGTTTGCCATCATGAAAATCTCTCAGGGGGTCCGGAGTGAAAGGTGCAAAAACAGAGGGGGGTACAGAGTCTCTTGGTCATCAGAAGTAACTTGCCGGGAGATATAATTGCGGAACACAAAAAGATGCTTTCGAGGTCGCCGGCAAGGTATCGAGGTCGTGGCGCAAGTGCAGACGAAAAGAGACACCATACGCAGATGACCAAAAACCACACCTGCGCGTAACGGCGCGTAACGTTTACACCGGCCTCCCTCCCTCTATCTCATGGTTTTTCTTCTACGCACCCTCTGCGAGTGACTTTCACGCGTTCGCCGGTTGATGCGCGATTAGCGATTATGCGTCCGACTTTCTTTTTCGCCGATACCTGTACCTTTTCTCTCTCTCTCTCTCGCTAAAACGTGGGATTCGGAGAATTCGTACGCCAGAGCTTGGTCTCTATGTTACGGGGTTACGCGGTTTCCGCTCGCAATATTCTGTAACATCAATTACATCGTCGAGTGTTCATATCTATTATGTATTATTAAGCACGGAAAGATATCGAGGATTTCGCGTTTGTGCCAAGGAGTTGGGTAATGTTACGTAAATCGTTACGCGCGTACGTGCGTGGCCAAGTACCGCCGGTGCCGATAATAAGGGGAGGATGTTTGGGATGACTGTTCGGGTATCGAGGCGGGGTTGGATTTTATCATTGCCGGGCGTGTTCTAAGAGTCTCAGTTCGCGATTCGGCGCTTGTACATTGGTTTCCTAGGTATTATGTGATTCCTTGCTTGCGAGAAAGTTACTCGAGTTGCACGGCTGGCGTTATGCGTGCGTTGTTTATCTCGATGTTTGGACATGTTTTGGCGTACTGTCCCAGAGTGCGTGGATTGGCTGTTTTTCTTTTCTTTATTTGGGATGTACAGTTGAAGGATTTTTTGGATTGAATGAAATTTTTCATGCATTTCATAATTGACTCGTTGGCACCGTTGATAAAAAGGATAATAGTGAACTCGGGTTTCAGAGCGGTTATTTCTTACATTTGTACTACTTTTAATGTTTTATGATAAGATACTTTTCTGTTTTCAATGGTTTTCCATTACCAGGAAAGCATCGACACTGTTATTCGTACCAGGCAATAATCCATCGTTCAAGTTACGAGGCAAAAATTACTCTCCTCGTATGAATCGCAATGACACTTTGCGATCGCCATCGGTCTTATTAATTAAAATCTTTCGACATTTCATTCGATTTAAATATTGTTTGAAAGCAGGTTTGCATCCATCTCTTCTTCCCGTTTTTCCTGCTCATCTGTGGTGCAAAAACAGAAGAACCGCAAAAACTCTACTGTGACACGTAAAATGATACCACATAAATTTTCTCCCCTTCAACTAATAACAATAATTAAAGAATTCGCAGTCGCATTAGCCAGACTTGCAAATGATTTTTTTTTCTTTCATCTCGTTAAAATTGAGGAAATCAGCTACCAAACTTATCAACGACGACGACGATAAAAAGATTTCTTGCAACATATACTTATACACAGCGCGGCGAGTGTAATATCGCGAAAAGCGAGGGAAAAAAAATGGAAAAAAAAAAAAAAAAAAAAAAAAAAGGAAAGGGACGTGTGCTAAGAGTCCTTGGCGAACGAGCGCTCGACGCGCGGTGCAAAGAAAGAAGACGTTAACGATCGTTTAAGCGCTCGTTACAGCTTTTAACTGCATTTTCGAGGACCTTTCACACCGAGAGCTGCTTTTCCGCAACTTTGTTTAAGCGTCTCTTGGAGCGAAAGCAATATCGCAAGCAACTTTTTGAGTGATCAGATAAGTTTTGTAGTTAAGATCGTACGAGTGAGATGCGTAGTAATTTTACCGTACGTACACACTAGTGATGTAATTCCGCAGGACCCTTGCGATCTTGATTTTTTATCATCCATTTTCGAATGATATTTCCCCAAACGAAAATCACCTGATGCCGATTTCGTGGGGTAATCATATATTTTCGATCTTTTCTGTTTGATTAACTTTTTTTTGCCCACTCGCCGATAAATGGTAGGTGCGCACGTCTCGCAGTCTCCGATAGTTGGAAAACGAGGAAAAAACATTCCCTGCGACTCATGTTTGTTGCTCGAGACTTTTAATTTTTCCATTAGAAGAAAAGACGCAAGAAAAAGTGCACCTCGGCAGGCTAGTGTCACGATTTGTTTTTCATCCGCGTATACGAGTGCTTATACGATGCTCGAGCGTCTGTTTTGATCGGACAAGCGAGAGACAGCTTCTTTTTTTTACGGTCTCTGCGCGTATCCTAGAGCTCGCATGTGTGAAATGCTACGCGAATGCTTGACTGGTATGCAAGAGAAGTATCTACTGTCATCATCTTTGTTGGGGTTATAAAAAAATTTATACTGTTCCATGACGCTTTGCCTTTGATTAAATTTTCATATCGTTAATGGTATATACTCTAAGTAATAGCGCGTGAAAATTTCCATTTTAACGAGTGTATGTGTTTGATAATAAATGAAATGCAAAATTGTTTCTAGAAACCACGATTAACTGTCGTTTTATGAACAACATGATGCTAGCGAAAAGTGCACGATAGTAAAAAAAAAGTTGATTTCAACAAAGAGGAAACTTTTTCAGTCTTATCACAAACGCCTTCTGGGACTATCTAGATGATATGAAAAATAAGTTACGCGATCAAGTACGTGATCATCATTATCTTTGTGAAAAGTGTCGGGCCAAGCGACCATTGGTCTTATCGTACTTGGTTTACTCTACTTACCAAGCATTCTATAATTATAAATCTCTGCTTAATCAAGCTCATAACTTTACTTGCACTGATTATTATCTTTGTCGTGATTTCTTTTGTAAAGAGACTCCGTAATCATCTCTGTAATCTTTGATATTGTAGTAAGTGTTTGGTCTGTACAATTTACAGCTCTATACTATCGTCTATTTGAACCTATTGACGTACCTAAACCTTACGATTACCTCCTTTATATATTTATTACTAGCATCAACGTCATTTTCAAAAGTATCTACCCGTATTTAATACAGCCTTACCATAGCTAACCTATTCTACTTAACTAAATCTCTAGCACTTTAAACTTGACCTACTGATGCACATGCACTTTATAAGTGTCTCTTTAAATGTATGCTAGGTACTTATCACCTACTTTAATGCTATTATAAAAAGCATTTACTTGTATAACGTAAGGTATTACTAAACTTGGTTTATTCTACTTGGTTACAATTCTGCATTACCACCTGCCTTTAGTCTACTGATGTAATTACACTACACTATGTTTTTAATTATCACAACCAGAATCAATTTCAAAAAAAACATGGTCGTAAATTGACAGTCTTACGAAGCTTGGCTTATTCTACTGAATCAAAAATTTGTACCTACATCACTTCATTCAACTGATGCACGAATACCTGAAAAATATATCCACGAGTAATGCACTACGTAACCATCCATAACATCACAATCATTGCAAAAAGTATATGTTTATATTGAGAACAGCCTTTCCGTACTTGACTTATTCTACTAAACCAAAATTTAATAACTACTGATGCACTTGAACCTTAAAATTAAATCTTTAAATACCATGTTACGTAAGTTATCGTCCAAATCGGTGTCGTTGCAGGAAGTACCTATTTATATTTCCAGTCGTACCAAACTTGGATTATTCCACTGAATTGTAAATTTACAGAATCTTTTAGTTTAAACCTACTGATGTTCTAATTTTTATTTGCAACGTTTTCATGAATCACTCATTCTACTTGACTAATACTATCGTTAATAGTTCCACCATATACCACATCTGTTGATCTCTTAAACAGCCTTACCATACTTGACTTATTTTACTTAGCTGAAACTCTATCACTTACATTCGGCCCACTGATGCATTTGTACCGTAAAATTATCTCTTTTAATTATGTACTAATACTATAGTAAACATCATCAACCACAGTATTAGTTAATGGTCCTACCAGTCTTGGCCTGTTCTACTCAATTATAAATCTTTATTATAATCTAATTTTACCTATTAATGTATTTAAACTACAGGACTAAAATTATTATGTATTTATCTCCAGGTTCGCATTATTTTATAAAGCGTTTGCTTACATTTTTTTAGTCTTACCATACTTGACTCATTCTACTTAACGAACACTTAGTTAATTTTGATCCGCATATGCACTGTACATCAGGGTTGCCAGAATTGCTTCTAGAAATAATATACTATACACATCCTAGTGGCACTATTATAAAAATTGTGATTTTGTATTATTTTTATAGTCTTACCAAAAACTTTGCTTATTCTACTTAATTGAAAATCTAGTTTATCGCCTAATTTAAACTAGCAAATTCACATTATTATCACCAAAAATAGGTCTAATTGTCACTTACCACCAATATTCTTTGAAAAAACATCATCTTGAATGATTGACCGTCTTACCATATTCGACTTATTCTACTTGAGTGTGAATCTAATTGATCACTTAATATTGATCAACTAATATTCTTACACTTCACAATCATCTCTACGAAAAAAAAACAATCTGTTCATGACTAATATCCTCATCGTTGTAAAAAGTATCTGCCTGTATTATTCACAGCTTCGTATCATTTGTATTATTCTAAAAAACTGGTAAAAGACACGATCAAAGGAAGCTGAAATCAGTGTCCACATCATCCCTGTAAAATTGCTTAAAATATTCTTGTTAATGTCTATAATTTAAGCAATACCCTCAAAAATTTCCGAAATTTTTTAGAAACTATAATTTTTTCTATGTCGGTCATCTATACACACCGAGAGTAAGAGTCAATTCGGTCAGCAGTAGCCACCTGTAGTATGGCCGCACCTGACCTTGCACTCGCGTGTGCCCGCGTTCTTGGCGTCCCGGCGTGTCACAGAAAACCGGTAGATAAATTCGTGCTTGTTCTCACTCTCGGATAACCGCTCCGATTAAAGATTTAGCTCCGCATAAATTAACCACTTCACCTGATACATACCTGCAATCGGAAATAACGCGTTGACTCTGCTTCTGTTTTCACTGCTTTCTTGATCTCACGCGGAAACAGAAAGTGGGAGTGACAGAAAGAGAGACAGCTCGAGACGACGTTTTAATAGTCAACGATTAAGCGTTGGACAGTTATTGGTAGTTGGCACCAAATAAAGCAAAAAATAAGACGTCGAGAAAGCAAGCGAGTGTAGGTACGAAGGAAAGTAGAATGAGCGTACCATCTTTGGCTGGGCTGCCCTAAAAGCACCGCGTACGCGCTAATGAACCTCCACTTGCTACACACGAATACCTACCCGGTGAAAGACCCCAAGAAGCGCCCTTTCCTTCACGCGTTCGCGTGTACAAAAACACCCACGCACACGGAGACACACCAGCACTAAGTCGGTCAACGCGCGCCCCATTTAAGTATTACGAGGTTCCTTATCATAAAATTTCCTTTCACCGCTCGCGCGAGCGCGTATCTCTTTCTCCTCTACCGTAGGCAGGTACGTATACATACGTACATATATAGACACACAGCACTGCAGAACTTCTCCTCTCTGTCTATATAAATGTGTACTCCATGTGAATGCCGGCTGGGGAAAATCGCGTGAAAGTCTTCCGCACTGCCGCGCGCTCGTTAATACTTTCATCGGACGAGCTTTTGATCCACCCGTGTGCGGTTTTTATTCTTATTGCTTTTCTTTCCCCCCCCCCCTTACCTCGATTTCTGCGGTGGGTCTTATTATTATATCCTTGGCTAATGAAGGGCTGCCGATTCCGTGTGGGCGGGCGGGTCTTTTTGGTAATTGTACATAGTTATAAAGATGTGTTGGAGGTAGCTGATTTTTTTTTTTTTTTTTATGATGGAAAAAGTTGAAATTTGGCCTTTGAGTCTCAGATTTGACAAGCAGATTTGATGGGCTCGGCTCGTTTTATTTGTCATTAGAATATGAATACTTTTAATCCTTACCAGATCATCGACTGCTCTGACAGTAGTAGAATTTCAAAGCAATCAATTATTTCTTATAAAATATTGCAAAAGCATCGCCTTCGATCAAACATATATGTTCCGCATCCAATAACGTATTCGTCTTTGAATGTTTCAGGTAGAATAGCCATTATACTCTTCGGTCTCCTCGCCTTGATCATAGGCTCCATACTAATAACGATACCATGGGTCGATTACATCATACTCAGGGTAAGTACCGCTTTCAAGTAAAAAGGCAAAAAAAAAAAAAAAGAAAGCCCGATCTCCCTGCAATAATCTCTTTGTTCATTAAGTAAAAAAAAATAAAAAAGGATTGCTATAATTACATCATTAGGTACACACTCTGTTGTAATTGAGAGCGCGACCGGGTAAATCTGCGAGGCGTGAACTTGATATTGCCTTCTGCTCCGCCACTAAACGCGCGCACATTAGCGAACCCGCGGATCACGTACTTCACCTCGAGATTTTCCAAGTGCGCGTCTATACAAACACGTGTATGAGTACCCATGCACAAATTGTCGGAGAAAAGCGATGAATTAAGGCAAACGCGAGAAATCGAGCGTTGGATTTTGTTTTCACATCCCTCGAGATTCGCGCACGTGCAATTAGGCTGGAAAAAAATTAATTTTTTCTTCATGTCCCAGCTGATGTGGATAAACTAACGAGCTCTCATTCGAAAGGCAAATAATCAAACGTGATTTTTCATTGTGAACGCAAGTACGTACAAATTATTAAAATGGAAACTTTGCAATTTGTCGACTTTCGTAAAAAGTATTACAACAACTTCATTCGCAAGAGGGCATCAAAAGCATCGGACATGTAAACACGTGGATAAGTATGCACCAGCGAATCGACGACAGGACATCTTACAATCGGTTTCTAACGATTTTTTCACCCAGTATTAAAAGTCCCCATCGTTATTAATTGCCGAGGAAAATCAGAATTGCAGTAGGTAGTACGGGAAATCTCTCCTCTTGGTCAATCACACATCAGCAGGTGCGCGATAAATAACACACGCGCGGAGAATACTCAAGAGTTGTCCGTCAAAGTGAGATTCTAACGTTTTATTAATTTACAACTCGCAGCAATTGAGGTTGTGGAACGGCTCGCTTAGCTTTCAATATTGGCAGAAGCCCGGTGTCGTGCGTCTCACCAAAGTGTACATATTCAACGTGACGAACGCCGAGAGCTTTTTGAGCTTCCAGGAGAAGCCCAAGCTCCAAGAAGTTGGTCCCTTCATCTACAGGTAAATTTTTTTTTTTCGTTTTTCTTGTTTTAGATTTACTATATTCCAATATCCTTACGTGTGAATGTAAACAAAATTACGTTACACGTGTCTGAATAGTCAGACTAGGACTTATTATGATTAGTTATAAATAAATAGTTAACACAATGTACTTTATTAAAAAAAAAAAAATTTCTTGCAAAGTGTTTAAAAACCCATAAAATAATTGCGTTTAAGTCTGATAGAAGTAAAAATATGGATGCACCAACCAGCGTTTCAGATAAAAGTTACATGAAATATCATTAAACAACAATAATGAAAAAAATAAAATAAAAAAAATACATGGTGGCCCGTTCAATGTTCACATTAAATGAAATTTACGTGCATTCCTGCTATATTAAAAGGTGCACCCGCATAATCCCGCATTATGTATGCACAACGATCCCGAGCAGCGCATAAAACACGCTGCACGGGGAGAAAAGAGTCGCGTTTAGCATGAAAAAGGCAACTGCAATCATCTTCCTTGGTTTTTTTTCTCGAAAACCCATTCGTTTGAATAAATTTGAATCCACTTAAAATCTACTTGCTCCCCGTGCGTCTGCGCGTAAACTGAATTACAACGCGCATAGATCATACCGAGCGTAAAAACGTCAAACAAGTGAGTATGTATTAAAAAAAAAAAAAAAAATAGGGAAAGAAAAAGACCATATACCTAATGTGAGGATCAACCGCGAGAGCGGATGGCAGTCAATTGCAAGACGGCGCACAATGACTAAATAAAAGCAGCGGTGGTAGATCTTCTCTCGCGAATCTAATTCCCTCTTACTCTCGCGCAGATGGAAAAGCCGCAGACAATGGACCCCCGGCAACAGGTCGAATCAGGCATCTGGCACACTTGCCACGTGCACGTGGATGTATGTATGTATCGCGCTATCATTGTTCGCGGTGTGGATATCGGCGACGCGCGTCAGGGCGCATTAACGGCAAGTGATCCACAGTCCCGAGAGGCGCGCGCGAAAGGAGAGTCCGCGTGTCCCATTGGCCGTAACTGGGTCGAGTTCTATATACACACCTCGGCAGGAACGAGTCGGGTCCATTCATCTCTTCTGTCTCTTTCTTTCTCGTTTTATCCGGCATAATGAGATTTCTCGCGCGCACTCTTGGCTGTACAAGCACACACGTACACGTTTAAAGGCTGTTTTACCGATTATTCACGCGAGCTTCTTTTCTTGGTCTTGTTTTTTTTTTTTTTTTTTTTTTTTTTTTTCTTTTACTTTTATTTCCACTCGGAGCTCAAAGAGTTTCCGATGTGCATTAGCGAGAGAACGTGATGTGCTTTACCGTTGTTGGCCGTCCCGTGTGTTTTATTTGACGGTTTTTACGTGTCGATTTTGCACTTGAACGATTTCCCCGTTCCTTTTCACGTGTTCAAGAGTACCAAGTGATGGACGTACGTACAGAGTCAAGTGGTTGATCGAGACGAGAAAAGAAAAACAATTACAAAGTTTAATGCAGATTTATTAGCATATTTTTTTGAACAGTAAATATTCATTTTTGACCTACAGAATGAAATTTACAGATATTTTATCTTCATCTAACTAGAATACTCTGGACATGATTACTCGGAAAGAGATTTTTTTTTCATTCTACATGTATGTAATTGCAAGTTTAATAAAATATGTATGCTACTGACTCATCCGTAACATCAAAATCATTGCAAAAAGTATCTGTTTATATTCAATACAGCTCTGCCATACTTGACTTATTCTACTGAACCAAAATTTAATCAGTACTGATGCACATTTAAGTTTGCAGTCTTACCAAACTTGGAGTATTCTACTGAATTATAAATATACTGTATCACTTAATTCGAACCTACTGGTGATTTAATTTTTATTTGCAACATTTTCGTGAATCACTTATTCTATTTGACTAATACTATCTCTAATAGTACCACCATATACTACGTCTGTTCATATCTTAAACAGCCTTACCATACTTGACTTATTTTACTTAGCTGAAACTCTATCACTTAAATTCGATCCACTAATTAATTTTTAGCATAAAAGTACCTCTTTCAATAATGTACTAATAACATACTTTACATTATCAACAACAGTGTCAGTTAATGGTCCTACCAATCTGGGCTTGTTCTACTTAATTATAAATCTTTATTATGATCTAGTTTTATCTATCCATATTAAACTCCATGACTAAGATTATTATGTATTTATCATCAGGTTAGCATTATTTTAAAAAGCGTCTACTCGCATTTTTTTAGTCTTACCATACTTGACTTATTCTACTTAACGAAGACTTGCTTAATTTTGATCCACTGCAGATGCACTATACCCCAGGATTTCAGAGATGACCTCTAGAAGTAATATTCTGTGCACATCTTACTATTACAAAAACTGTACTATTATAAAAATTGTATCACATATTATTTTTACAGTCTTACCAAAAACTTTGCTTATTCTACTTAATTGGAAATCTAGTTCATCGCCTAATTTAAATTAGCAAATTCACATTATTATCACCAAAAATAGGTCTAATTGTCACTTACCACCAATATTCTTTGAAAAAACATCATCTTGAATGATTGACTGTCTTACCATATTCGACGTATTCTACTTGAATGTGAATCTAATTGATCACTTCATATTGATCAACTAATATTCTTACACTTCACAATCATCTCTACGAAAAAAATACAATCTGTTCATGACTAATATCCTCATCGTTTGAAAAAGTATCTGCCTGTATTATTCACAGCTTCGTATCATTTGTATTATTCTAAAAAACTGGTAAAAGACACGATCAAAGGACGCTGTATATATTCTATTTACTCATACGAGGAACTGGAAGAAAAATTTATTTTAAAATATTCATAAGTTAATAATGTGTTTACGCCAATAAAAAATAAAAGATTTTCTATAATAAATGCTGACAAACGTATTTTTAATCTTGTATTCATCGATACGTTATGATCTCTCAACCAGGTGGATACGGACACAGTAAATATTATTTTATTCCACCGAAAACGAGATTTAAATAAGTCTGATCACATTAGACCGTAGGTTCCTTAATTTTGAGCAAATTAAAAAAAAAAAAAAAATACCACGTCGAGCTTGTACCAAGTCCTTTTTGTATTACATCGGAGTCGGTAATCCTTCAAAAAAAAAAAAAAAATTAAACAAAACAAAATAATCATCAACGCGTCCTCGAGACCACAAGTATGTGTATTTTGGCCCACTCCATCACTTTGCCTTAAACGCCTTACTTTCGACACTTCATGACTACAGGGCATTTGAGCCGGAAATCATATCGTCGCGTCGAAAGTAAAGAAGGATCGTTTACCTTTCGTCCTTCCTTGGGGTATACTTACCTCGGGCAAGGTCGCTCGACTGACTATTGTGGAAAGAACGACTCTCTTTTCACGCGAGAGAGAGAGAGGGGCTTTCGATCTTTGTTTGCTTGATTTTTGATGGCAGTCGAGTATCAAGGATATCATTGCCTGCGAGAAGTGCTTTCCAACAGCAACTCGTGCGTCTGGAAGGACTTGGGCTGGCTTTTCGCTGAAGGGCCCTCACGGGCTGCTCTTTTCAACGCGTATTTCTTCAAGGAACCCGTAAATATGATCGCATACAGATGCTTTTTTCCGACTTTGGCAAATTTCAATTTTGCTACGATGGATTTCACGACACACATCCTTGACCTATCGCACAAAGCATCGGCGAGATTGTGGACTTCAAGGTTCGGTGATGGTAATTTTTTGAGACTCGTAAACTAAATCGATATAGATCGTGGGTCGTTCAATCTCGCGAAATTTTTGACATTTTTGAATTAATTTGAGCACAAGCCCCCGTATGCCCGAGGCTCTTTTCTGAGTAATCAAATCTTAAAAGTCTGTATGTTAATAGACTTGACGAATTTGGATGATGGCTTTGAACTACATTTTATCAACCTAATTCAGTTTGGCGTGTGGATGCCAAAGACCTTCTGTTACTCTCGTGATCGCACACGTTGAGATTTAAATTTTCGTGTTACTTCTTGCAGCTCAGTTTGAGTGTCGAAAATCACAAACAACAAAAGTGTTCCGAAGCTCTACATTCCCTTGATAAATATTACGAAATACTGCTCGATTACTGATTTTTTCTGATCAATATATCAATCATCTAATTAACATTTAACATCCAAGCCGAAAATTACATGTCACACGTGCCTGACAACCTCCAATTACCAATAACGCGATAACCAACCATTCGCCCCAATTTTTTCTACACCTTTTTAATTCAAGAGTTAGCTACGTCTCAGTTTAATTTCATCGTGACATTAATATTTTTGTAAAGCAGCATTCGTATGGTTGAATATAGAGTTAGTTTGATCACATATTTGTTTTTTTTTGTTTTTTTTTTTTTTTTTTTAATTTCCATCTTTAGCCTACACTTCTAAATATATACAATCGTAAATTACACAATAGCTCGACGTTACCGCGCATCTTTTGCTCGAAGATTCATATTTTGTCTTCTCCAGCAGGTCCAGCAGTTGTTGTATACCTGTATGTTTACTCTTTCGAAAAGTTGCAAAAGTTTATGACTACTTTGTCTCTCATTGCGAGGGTAAACTTTAATCCATCGCTTCGATCTCTCGAGCAGCTGTCAAATTTCCGTGTAGTAACTATTAGCAAGTTTTCTCAACATGATGTCTTGATTGTCATTACTCTTTACAATTAAATAAATTTTTATGGTCCAAAAAATAAAAATAAGCAAAGTTACTGTATTATACTCGATCATTCGTAAAAAAGATTGAACAGTGAGATAAAGTTGGATGAAATAGAGATAACAGTGTGAATAAAACATCGGAAATGTTTGATAAGTATTTAATGGTGCCAACACCGCAAATGCAATGATGTAAAACAACATATAACTATAAATTTGCCTTTTAGCATCAATTTGCTCCGTTTACAATCATCCAGTTTAGTAGAGACACCAATATTCCATCAAAACATGTCAGACCACACGGTCTGTAGAAAAAGGTAAAAGTACGGTAAAAACAATCATCAGCCATATCATATCAATAATCGAGTTGGACCAGCTTGGATCCATCGACGACAGCCGGTGACCTTAATGTAACCTGAAAGATCAGGAACAACTAAAAGTGACCGATACACCGATCCTGGGTGACTATACGTGCATATCCTATACACGTACATGCAAATCACACACGCAATCGCTTTCTACGGAAGCTTAAGGCTGCTGCAGCCACATAGCTCTCGTATTACGTACGCTACGTGACGAGTCTCGTACATAACGCGTGTGTTATTACGCAGCCGATTACGAGGAGACTTGCCGAGCCGTGTGTCTCTGCACGAGAGCCAAGATCTTTTAGATCGGACTAATGATCTGTTTTGCGGAGCGGAGGGACAGGTAGCGGAGTCTGTGTGTGAGTTCTGTTTTTTTTTGGGGGGTTGTCGACAGATGTTTCGTCAAAATTTTCGTCTTCGTACGTTGATTGTTGAAAAAGTAGAAGAGAATTCGAGTCACCGGTATTCGTTCGTAACGTGAGAGTAGTTGATTATGCTTTGCAGGAATCGTTGGTTCACGAGCAAGATAATATAGTCATTAGGTACCTTTATGGACGTTTACGAGGTCGAATCGGCATTGAACTAGACAAAGATTAATGATTGCTCTGGTCGTTGGTTGACCTTAAAAGGTATAGGATCACTTTTGTAACGGGTCAAGTTTAATGTCAATGGATTCCTGAATCGTTACTTTTTTGCTTCGATAGCCATGCACCTCAGTTACGTTTTTCCATCAGAGTATTCGTATAATACCCAACTATTTTGGAAGAAACACCAAGACCTTTTGTCAAAAAAAAAAAAAAAAAAAAAAACAGTAGAGTAAAAATAAGAAAGTAGAGCGAGATCAAACAGATCATTATAGTAATTAGTCCAAGTAAGTGGAAGGTATGCTTCTGGCGTCCTTTAAAAATGAGTAATCACATCAACACTTGTTGACCTCAATTAATAAAGCACTTAAGAGATGATTTTTGGCACAGTCGGTACAATCCAAATGATAAGTCGATAGTTTTCACTAAGTTGGGTTGTTGTGATTTTACGTGTTGAAAAAAAAAAAAAAAACAACGGAGATGCGTCTTACCGCGTTTGGATGCTTCTACTGAATTCATAGACTTAAGTCACGTAATGACACCCCACATATCGGCTTCGCAAATATACACTTGCTGGGAGAGAAAAAATGTGTACCCAGTAGCCTCGCAAGTAGCTGCTACCATTTTTTTTCGGGCCATTAGCCTCGTACGCCAAAAAAAAAAAAAAAAAAAAAAAAAAAAAAAACAGGAGCGGCTCCTTGGCGTTCACGTGAGGGGTACACGACCTAATCAAAGACGAAAATCGGCCGAACCTCTGGTACTCCACCAAGAGAAAGAAAAAGACTTTCACAACGTGACGATCATGGGTGTAAACTCAGCCATTAGGCGAACACATCTCTTTACGTAACTGCGGGCGAGCGCAAATATTACGGTAATAGACGTGTAGACACAGATGTAGCCGCGCGCTCTCGTGTCACGTGTATATATGTAACCCACGAGGAGAATTCAAAGAAGGTGGGCTCCACTGAGGAAAAGTGAAAGCCGAACTTTTAGGGCTCGCGGTGCTGGGTTACATTCGATCTTCCAAAGTCGCGTGTTGGCGGAGAAGAAGGCTCAAGAGAACTCACGATAGGCGCTGTCACTTGAAACTGATACGGTGAAATTACTCGAAGAATAGATGATGTTGGCTGAAACTGTTGATTGCATCTTGTAATTTAGCGAGGGACTCTGTTTTGATTGAGAAGAAAAAATCTCACTTTTGACACGTAGGTATTTTATTAAAGTAGCGTGACTCTCGAGAGACTGCAAATGCCATTCTGTAGGTGAAAGGATGTATTGAAAATAAAAAAAAAAAAAGAGGATTGCGTTGCTTTAAGTACCTGCTAATAGTCCGGGCTTTTGTTTGCGGGAGATAATTTATATACGAAATGCTGGTTTTTGCATAAATCTTGGGGGGGAAAAACCTGTACCTTTTTAAACACTCATTTTTCAATTATTGAATCATGCCTATCCTTATATTTATGTGCCTGTTTTTATGAAACGTGTCAACTTATCATTTCTTTTCTCTCTTTTTCATCGCATTGTACAGGGAAGATATGGAAAAGGTGAACATCGTCTTTCACAACAATGGAACAGTCACGTATCAGCACAAGAAAATCCTCAACTTCGTACCAGAGATGTCAAAAGACAGCGATCTTCGAGTACTTGTGCCGAACATTCCACTCCTCGTAAGTCAAAGTCCAGGCCTGAAAATAAAACCCACCCGTAAACCGATTTTCCATAAAAATCGGCAAGTACGCGATCATTGAAAAATCATAATCGTGCGGCAGCCACATTTACCGGTTTTCTAGAATTCAGTTCGTGAAAGTCTTGTCCGAGCAAAGGTCTAGAGCTTGTAATTTATTTCTGACATTAAACTCGCGGCTGCAGCCGCCTTTTTAAACTTGCGTCAGAGTTTGCTCGCTGCTGTTTTTTTTTTTCTTTTTTTTCTTGCGCGTTTTCACCAACAGTTATTGATTTACGAAATTCGCTCCATACTCCCTCCCTCCCCGATCACTCCTGCTTCCATGGGGTAATTATACATACATCGGCTGGTTTATCTGGCGCTATGACTAATGCCCAATGTGGAGCATTGCAGAGAATAGAATTTTTCATACCACATTGGCTGGTGAATGCTTAATTGAATTCGATGTTTATTATCTTTTTAATGCTCGTGCCAGACAAAGGGAGAGGGGAGGCGTTTAAAAAAAAATCTATCGTAAGATAATGGATTGCATGTATTTTTCGTTGGTCTGCATTTATGCACGTTATCATTACCAAATGTTTACTTGAAAAATTTATTCAATATCCACACAACTGTGTCCTAAGCAAAATATAAATTCTTGTCGTGCAACTGATTAGATAAATTCGTAACATTTAGGTAATATAATTTAAATAATTGTTTGTGACCATTAAATGTAAGATATAAGTATATAAACAAGCAAAAGATATACTTTTTTCGTTTCCAACAGACCCTGTCGACGCAAAGCAAAAGCCTGCCCCGGATACTGACGATGGGCCTGTCCATGTTTCTCAGCGGCATGGACATGAAGCCCTTCGTACCAGTGACGGCACAGGAGTTGGTCTTCGGCTACGACGATCCGCTGATCAGCATAGCCCACCGATTTTTCCCGAAGACGCGACGCCCGATGAGTCAAATGGGCCTACTCCTTGGAGTAAGTCCTTTTTGAAAATGCTTCCATACTATTTTTTCTAGCTATCACAACTCAACTATTCGATAACTGATTATTTTTTACTAGCTTGTGCGAAAAAGTTTACGGTTAAATTGATCTTGCCATGGATTTATTTTATTTTTTTTTTTTGCTGTTATAGCGGAATGGGACGCTGAGCGAGGTGTCGACGATTTACACGGGCCACACGGACATGAAGGAATTCGGTCTCTTGAACAGACTAAACGGAATGGATAAGCTTCCTTATTGGCCGGACGCCCCGTGCAACTCAATTAGAGCCTCGGAAGGTGAGGATTCATTTTTTTTATTCCGTACACGAATCCGCGCGCCAAAAAAAAATTTACTACTCTGACTATGTTTTACATGTAGTAACAAGACTAATTTGACAACAGATTAGATTGCCCTATGATTTTCTGAAAAAGAAAAAACCTCTTTATTTTTTCATTAGAGCTAGCTGTTTTGCATTTGACCGCAGGTAGCTAAGGTGTGACCAATCACATACACGCATAAAGTAATCAAGTAATCGGTTTATTGCGCGCCGTAAATTTCCGTGTACGGGATAATAAGATGCGCGGACGCAAAGGAGTTGGTGATCGTTTTGGTAAAGATGGAGGTCGACGAGTAAACGTGAATTCCAAAAAGTATCGTGACTGAATAAATGAGTCGAGAAAAATCCCCTGCGCGGGTCCGAAAAAAAAAAAAGAAAAAAAAGATACTCAGCGATAATCGCATGTTCCCAGGCTCATTCTTCCCACCTCGAGACCGCACGGGCGAGGACATCGTGAACGTGTGGGACAAGGACCTGTGCCGGGTATTACCCCTCAAGTATCGCGGTCCGGCGGAAAAAACCGGCATCAAGGCGGACCTGTACACGCCGCCAGACACCGTCTTCGATCCGCCCAGTGAACAGATGCCCGACAACGAGTGCTTCTGCCCCGACGATCCCAACAGTTGCCCGCCCCGGGGCCTCCAGAACATCAGCCCCTGCCAGTACAGTAAGCTGCGCATTTGTTACTCCGTCCATGCGATACATGCCTTCCAATGACGTTGGTGGGTTTTATCGGGGATTCCCGGATGAAAAAAAGGAGAAGCAAGCCGAAATTTTTTTTTTTTTAATACGCCTCGGTTCCTGCATTTTGGCGTTTGGTGTATCAGGTTTGCGGGGCTGGGATGCTCTTGAAAAATTTATTCACGTCTCCTCGGTTATTTCGATCAGTGGAGTTGGCAATTTCGGTAATTACGTTCAAGGCTTTGGGGCTTCGGAATATTCCGTGGATCGACAGCGGAGATGCTAATCGGCAATCCGGTTTTTTTCGATGCACCAACGAAATTTGAAGGATTTCGTGCAGGGTGAAAAAAAAAAGTTATACTCTCTCGCGTGAATCGCAAAGCTTGTTTGGATGAATTTTTTAACAAATTTGTTGGTTTTATTTTTTACACCCACAATTTCGAGAGTACGTGGTTTTGATGGGTTGCGTTTTACAGGTGCTCCGGTGTATCTATCGTTCCCTCATTTCTACAAGGCAGATCCCAAACTTCTGGACGCTATTGTTGGACTAAACCCAGTGCCAAAACTACACGAAACGTATTTCAAAATACAGCCGGTAACTATTCCTTGTCTGTCTAACATTACATAGTATATATACATCATAAACTAAGTGCTTATCAATAGTAATTCTTGCTATTTTTCCAACACTGCACCCCATGTACCGTGTAGGCAAAAGAATAATTTCAACTTTGTACACCGATTGTCCAACAATAATTTTTTACTCTCGGTGTAAAAAGCCTTATTTCTCGTGTCTACGTGCAGTGTTGGAAGTACTTGTTTTTTGCGTAAAGTGGTTCATTTGCGCACGGGTTTGCATAAAATATAATTTATTGTCTGAAAAAAAAAAGAAAAAAAAAAAAAAAATGACGACGAGTGTAACGAACATTGCAGAAACTGGGGGTCCCGGTGGAAGGCAAGGTCCGGGTGCAGTTGAACCTAAAAGTCGAGCACCAGCCGGACATAAGCGCAGTGGCGAATTTCACGGACATCGTGTTCCCGATAATGTGGCTAGAGGAGGGCGTGGACGAGTTAACTCCGTCGATCCGCCGCTGGGTGTACCTGGCCACGACGTTCGCCGACACGCTGGTCCCCTGTCTCGCCTACGGCCTCGTTCTAGTCGGCATCGGTTGCCTGTGCGTCGTCATCTACAAGTCGTACAGCAACGTCGTCCTGACGCACGAGGCCATCGAGCTCGGCAAGCGCACCATACGACGGGGCTCCTCGTTCATAGTCAACGGTCAGCACAGGCTGCTCATGACCAAAGACTCGTACGTGCTTCTGCAGACGGAGGACCACGAGGACGAGCAGAAGCGAACTGCCCTCAAAACTTTCATGACCAACGATCCCGCGTTTGCCTACTGATCGCTAATAAGTTGCGCTGGTGATGGCGACGATCATTTATATTATCACTATATGATTGATCATTGTTCAAAAGATTTTTTCAAATCGCCTTGGACTATTCCGATTGATGATTAAACGTTTACATTTTTACCCTCATTACAAATGTTTTCCTTTTTTTTTTTTTTTTCTATTATTATTATTAACGTAACTCAGCTGTTTATATTACGATTAGTTTTTGCGATAGTCTTACCATGTGCGTTAATAATAATAATAATCAATGAATAAGTGCGTACTACTGTGGGATACGAGTTGTTTAAACGAGCTTAATGAACTTCAAATGTTTCGAGTCACAAAAAATGGTGTAGCCGAAACTTTTAGATAGTTATTAAAGTTCTTCTTAAGTTTTGTAAAATCAGGAAAGGTATTTATGCGGCAAAACAACAAAGACATTGTTCTTGTAATCGAAATTATCAAACTTTGATCACTGGAGGGTGTGGTAATTAATTATTGTATACTCTTTTGTGATTTGGGTTGTTGCAATTTTTGCTTCTCAGTAGATATTGATAAATTATTTTTATCATTTGTATGTACCAAGTTAATTAATATATCAAAGACTGCGTCAGAGAAGGTTATTGTTCTTCATAGTGCAATAGAAAATGTACTATAGTGTGTGTTTAAATTTTTTTGTATTATCTTTTTTTTACGTGTGTAGAATGATTCGCAGTCATAGACAATAGCGTTTTGTACAGCTTTAAGTTTAGGTACGATTGTTATAATGCTAAGGTCTTGAGAGAAGGATTTTTGAAGTGTCTTATTCTGAGAGGAAAAAGTATCGGGCAAAAATGAAACATGTTAGATAACGCTGAAAAAATTACAATCTTTTTAAAAATATTACACGTGCGTATGAATTTTTTTCAGACGTATTTTTGAAAAACAATTAAATAAATCAAAATTTAAAAAAAAAACTTTTGCCTAGTTAAAAATAAGTTGTTGAAAATAAAAATAAAATAACATAAACGAATGAAAAAAAATCATACTAAAAATCTTCAGAAAAGTTACATTTTATAAAGTTGTATTAGTGACCCCCAGAAGATTCTATGTTTAATTGTGGAATTATATACTTTTTTCTCGAAAATACGCCTGGAAAAAAATATTGAAAAAGTTATACGCACATTTTATGTTTTGAAGAAGAACATGATTTTTTTTCAGTGTTACGTAACATTTTTTAATTTTTACCGGAACCTCCTTAAATAAAATTTGCTTTCTTTAAGAATTTGTTCATTACATTGGACCCATAATGCCTAAACAGCACCAAAATGGGTTTGTAAAGTGGTGATATTCAATGTAAATTAAACTGAGCGATCATGTATGAATGACAAGTAGTTTAACTCATTTATGAAACGCGAAACGAAATATGTAATTTTTGTATAATAAATGCACAAAACACTCTTTAAAATTTTATAAATTTTCAAGATGTTAGCACATGACGTAAATTAATTTTTGTTTCGCGTTTCTCAAACACATTTGTGAAAGTGTACAGATAATAATTACATTCAAGAGTCTCTTATATTTTTAAAAAAATTTTCAGTGAAACAAAATCACTGTATAAAAAAGTATCTTGTGAATAATATAGTTATATAAAGATATTACAGTAACTAACAGTCAGGCGAATGTGAGAATCACGTTTTATTTAAATTAATCACAAAAATTATGGTTTAAAAGACACTCATGAATAAATGTAAAGAAAAAAAAAACAAAACAAAGAATATTTGCTATGGCTGTGGAAAAAAATGATAAAAATAGGAGATTCCTTGCGCTGCCACAAGTGCCATTTTAGCCGTGCTATCATGTGGCATGAATCATTAATTTTGATACCATTTTTTCCTACCTTACTTCAATGTAATAAAAATTAACTGGTTTTCTAACGACATTGAGACGTATTCAAAGTGGGCAAATATTTTATTCATAATAAAATAGGGTGCAATTGTATAAATGTTATATTATTGTAAAATGTTACTTTCATCTATATCCTTATTATAATCACATCATATTTTACTCGTAGTCTTCTACTTTTAGAGTAAAATAAATTGATCCAAATGTATTTATTGTTATAGAGTAAACTTCAAAATAAATTTATAAATAATTTTAAAAAACACTTTAGAACCAATGCTACTAAGTTTCTTATTCGTAGTGGGGAAAATTATTTAGTTTACCGGATTCTTTAATGTTAAAGTATGTTAAGCGTTATAATACTTACATAAATAAATAAATTTTAATATTATTGTGATTATTATTGGATGCGT